TTTTTGCCCGGAAACTTTCAGGCCATGTACGATCGTGAAAAGTTTTTCTAAGTACGACGCCAGTGAAGAAAGTCGTTTGTATTAATTCTGTGCCGAGGAACTTCGGAGCAAACGCAAGTGGTCTAAAGTTAAAAACTGCCGGCCATTTAATCCGCGCCCAGCAGTCTGCAATCATGAGAAAAGTTTCACGTGTGCCACGAAATGAGTTCTTCCGCGTATAATTATTTAAAGTTTCTTTACAAAGGTAGAATACTTAAAATCGATTACTTTTTGCAGAAAAACGCGTCAAAGTAGAAGTACCACTTAAGGGTTCTAGTTCTAACCAATGAGACGGTAAAGTGATCCAATATGTAGTGTATCTTAGGCTCTTTATAAGAAAGAATAAAAATGCATTGTAGCCAATATTGTATACAAACAATCATATTAGATGGATATAAATAAGGGTTGAATAAAATAATTTTTTTAAAGGTTGTTCCGTGGTCTTCCAACGCCCGTTGGCGGCGGCATACACTGCATCTGTGTAGGCACCGCGTCGAAACCCAAAGGGACATGATTGCCAATTTCTAGTTTCCACCGTACTAGTTTTTTCAACTAGGTTTATTTTATTGTCACCCCGAATCATACACCTTAATCGGTTTTTCAGGAGAAGCTAGACGACCACACACCATCGATCTGGACGAAGCCAAACGCAATGATCACCCCAGACGGAAGTATTGTGTGGAACTTCCCGAATCTCCTGGACATCATAAACCGTCAACATTAGATATTTGCGGTACGATACCAGAGTCATCCCATGCTGAAAAGAAACATCAAAACAATCAGCCATGGACTAAACATAATATTCGTGAAAGTATTTTGAAACATGAAGCTTTTTACGATGCACAGAAGAGACCTTTATTACCTCCGAAGGAAACTTTATCCATTCAGACTTGGACGAATTCGTCGCAACGAGTAACAGAAACACCTTTCCTCGAACCCTTATCAGTAAAAGAACAACCGAAGCCCTTTGTTGACAACTTCACTCGAAAACCTGATATACAAGAGTTTCAGAATTTGAGTTGGAATCAGAAACAGCAAAGCACAAAGTCTTTTCAAGATGAGAAATGTCAAAAAGATTCCGGTGATGATTTTTACTGCACCCCCATTAAACAGAGAAGGACGATTGAAGGAAAATTTCTGTGTTTTAACGACAATGAATTTCCTAAAACAAGTACTATGAAGAGTAGTGATTTTCCAGCCTCAAAAATCAAACCATTAGCGGTAAGTTGTGCCCGACAATAGTACACTGATACATTACTATAACACGGGTATATTGAATGCTGGGGTTATGTATAGACTATACGTATAAGCGTACAGTATCCTTTGAGGTATTGAAGTCAATCACTAACTTCAGCCTTTTTTTTCTTAGCATGATGCATTACGTTAGTGTATGATTGTCAACACTATACATGCAAYTGAAGAAATAGAAAACGCGCGCGCGTGCTGTGTGCAGTTATAAAACACGCGGGGGTTGGCAGAACACGAGAGAAGTGTTAGAAGCACGACGCTTAGCAAAGTACTTCTCAACACTCATCCTCAACTGCTTTATGACTCCACACAGTGCAGCAAGCAAGTTTTTAATTTCTTTCATAAAATACAAATTACAATAATAGATAGGAATGACGCAACGGAAATTGTGCACACGTGCTGTGTGCTCTCATAAAGCACGCGCTTCCAACCAATCAGAACGCGAGATTTATAGCAGTTATTTTGTAAGGAGGGTTATTGCATGTTGCAAAGTTGTACCTTATAGATGACCATAGATTATTGATTTTAGCTCTTGCTTGGTATACTGGAAATGCCTGTTTCTCAGAGTTCATCTGCGAAGTGTTTCAAATGAGTACACTTGGCATACGAACTCTGAGATATAGGCTTTTCCCTATATATAAGAGTCATCCACCACATATACATTAAATGACGTGCGAAGTGTTGTCCTCAAATAACGGAAAACCCGTTAAGCTAGCAAATCCGCGATATTGCATGTTCGCTGCGTGACTGCGTGGCTGCATGAGCGTTGTGTTGCCAGTGTATTAGCATGTAGTGTCTTCGGTTTTGGATGAGTGTTCTGAGTTTTTACGGAGAATGTAAGCATTTTCATGAAGTACTAGATTTATTTATTTCATGTATTTATCTATTTGAAGATTTGCCAAAGGCAGGTGGTAATTCATCCAATTCAGCCCAGTAAATAAGTAACCCATCCCACAGATACACCCGGCCCGGCCATGGTAGATGTTTCTTGAACAAACTAAAAGCCTTTCTAGAACAAGAAAGTCTTTGA